GAAGATTTTATTTTAAATAATGATGTATTGACTTAATGATATAAAAGTAATATCCTATTAACATTTTATTACATTTCCTTCATTTCCTTGCCTCATTTCCTTTTGCGGGCTTTCTGTTTCACCTGGTAAAACTGGCTTAATCAATAGGGGAAGAAACTGTCTCACATATGAAGAAGGCTTTAGGTAAGGCAGTCTTCAAGGTTGGCTGATTAAACTAGTCAGAAATGTCTCCAGAGATCCAGCTTTTCTCTCTTTCCTCTCCCCCAGCTGCCCTCTCCTTCTGCCCGATGCTCTGTGCCCGCCTCCCCTTCTCCTCTGTTGCCCTTGCTGGGTTATTGTTTGGGGTTGACTCCTCTCAATGACTGCAGGGTGGCTCCTGCCACCAACTAGGGCCAAAGGCTGCCTTTTTGTTTTCTCTCAAAGCCATGGAATTTAAGTCCTCCCCTTTGGTATGATTGAGCCAACTGAGACATTTATTCAGTATCTGGCACGTATTCGATATCTGATAGATATTTGTGGATTGAGTCGTTAAGATTGCATTGTTAGAAGACAGACAAGCTCCATAGCTGTGCCAGAAATGGCTGGAGGAGGCTGAATGGAGCCACACCAGCTCCCAAGAGATGGAAGTGTGTATAAAAGATGGCTGATTTATTAATTTTCATGGGAAATACGTGTTTCCCACAAGGAGAAGACAAGTATGCTCCACTTACATTATCTGCAGAGACTGCAAGGCAAAGTGAGATGGATAATCTTGAAGGACTGAGGTGCAGTGACATCTTTACAATGATCCCCAAGTTCTCTATCTTGTGGTCACTGTTTCTCCTCTCTGGATACATAATATCAATGCGTGACTTCTCAGACTTCTTTTCTTATACTACAGGATGAGCACTGAAAGCCGAGAACTTAACCATGGATGATTTAGTCAAAATAACTGTGCATTGTACTTCAAGGAAATGATAATCAATCTAAAAAGTTTTCTTTTGAACAATATTAAAACACATTTATACATGTATAAATTATACATGGCCATAATTGTTTTCATTTCAGACTTGTACATGATATACTGAAGAAAAAATAATTTGTAATTGAAACCAATTTGTGTGTGTATGTATATAATTTATAAAATGTGTATGTGTTTACATACACTTATAGATTAAATACATATGTATATATTTTAACTTAACCAAATCATGGACAATTTTTCATGTCAATAAATAAACATAAACATTCATCATCATTTTTAGCAGCTGCAGTCTTGGATTATGTTGAATCTGTTTTCTTTATTGTAAAAAAATATTCTTTTTTAGTAGGAAGATTTTAAAAGATCAACAAAGAATAAAATTACTTAAGGATCATAAGAATCAATCAAAACTCTTTAATGCTTGGTTTTAAATGGATCTTTTTTAGATCTATAATAATTTATTAAACTTATTTTGTTATTCTATTTGTTATTTTTCTTTATCACATTTTGTTTTTCTTTAATGGTATTCACTTTTGTCTATAGTTTTTATGGCTCAAATAGTAAGTAAATTTAATAATTTCTTATTGATTCTAAAGAATATGAGTTTTAGTGGAATTTTTGTCTACTCTGTATTTCTGGAGCTCTTACTTCAAAGCTAAACACCAGAATAAAGACGAATATTAGAAGCAGACGCAGAACTTTAAATCAGTCATCATAATGTAAATTCCTTCAAGTTCTACTTATAAATTTGGATTCATTCCTGAAATCCCATTTCACATAAGAAATATCAAAATTGATCACAAAAAACAACATACAAATATGTGCACAGTTATAAGGATTTATAAAATATTCAAAATTAAGTACTTGCTGAAAGGTGTACTTACTAAGAAATCCTCCAGGGGATTTTTTTGTTGCATGGGCTCTTCTTCCTAAGGCTTTAAAAAATTATTAAAATGATGCTTACATTGAAGACAGCTTCTGTTTTTAAAATAAAATAAATTTCTCTTTAACAAGCATCAATATTCCCTTTCTGAAATTATTTAAAATTTTTTCTTGTTTATTCTTCCCACTAGAATTTAAGCTTCTTGAGAGCAGGGATAAATGCCTGGCACATAATGGATCCATAGTACACATTTCTTGAATAAACAAATGTTTACAGAACCCTAATGCCACATAAAAATTAGTGTCTGCTGTTGCTAACATTTTTGTTGCCAATCTGATGCTCATGATGGACTCAAAATCTGCCATCCATGGCAATTTCCTTCTTTTCCATGATTGCCTGTCCCTTCATTTTTAAGTGAGCTTCATTCCTGAACCATGTGAAATGCCACTCAGACCGTTTAGCTGGGAGTACGTGTTGGAAGTGTACAGAGACGTTCCAGAGTTGTGGGTTCTTAGGAGTCATTCTAAGTCGTGGTCTCTTAACCTTACATTGAAAATGTTTTTGTGGAAAAAATTATTTTTCAGTATCAAATTATATTGATAGGATGTTGTCTCACTTCAGGCTTATAAGGTGGCAAAAGAAGTCAGACACCTTGCCAAAAAGTAAGACAGCAAGTGACTGGCCATGTGGGCTTCTGACCACAGTGCACGCTCTGAGCCACTAGCTGTGCCACCTCTGCTATTCGGTCGTCCTGTCCTCTCCATTGTGGACGAGAAAGTGAATGGATTGTCTGCAACATGCTGAAACTTGCCTTGGGCAAGAGAGTTCAACAAAATGAAAATTCCAAGTATAGGAAACAGGAAGGAAGCTTCCCTTATCCTAAACAAATTCACTGGACCCATTAATTTCCTCAGCTAAAAGACCATGTTCCCTAAATGTAATGGACTTGTCATTCATTTAACAAAAATTGTTTGGCTTCTAAGTTGGAGGAAGAGATAGATGATATATTTCTAAATCTGTACATAAGGTGAAAAATCCAGAAATAAGTTACAGGTAGCATTTTTCTTTCAAATACTTTGTCCATAAAGCAAGAAAAAAATTGGTTTTTATAAATACTTATCAGTAGAGTTTCTTGTGCACACTCAAGTTTGAGAAGCACTAAGCAAAACTAAAGGAAAAAGCAAAGGGGACATTTATGTACAGATGTCTGGACATTCGAGCTCCTCTTCCTTTGAACTAACTTTCAGATCATACTGATGACTGGAGAGTGGAAGGTGCGAAAGGGTCACAGCTTGAAAACTCCATTCAGTCCCACAGTAAACTTGTTCACACAGCTGCTTCTTTCCTTTGCATGTTTTAATCAACCTTGAATTTTCAACCCTGTTCATTGAATTTCTTAGATAAAAATTAAAAAAAATTTTAAACACATATGCCTCTACAACTTTATGATCTGTTAATAAATTTGTCGTGATGATTAAATCGAAGAGTCCCATCTTCAGAGAGGTTTAGAAAAGAATAAGAGGTTAGGAGTTAAAGAATAAATGAAAATGTTTCTATGATGTGACTTCAGTGTATAAGGTAAAATAAATGTTTTTCCTGTAACATGGCTACATTCTTAGGGAAATCAGATGCAGTGCTCAAACCATTATGGAACAATTATAAGAAAAATATATAAGCAAGTATGTATTAGTACAGTAATACAAAAAAAATAGGAACTGCTTATTGAACGCTTACTATCTGATAGTCCCAAGCTTGTTAATTTTGAAAAGGTTCCCAGGTAAAGGCAACATGCAGCAAGTTTTGAAGTCTAATTTACTTTAAATTATGAAGCATCCAAGGGGCATGACAGATGGGATATTTTTGAAAGATAAACTGTGTGTGTGTGTGTGTGTGTGTGTGTGTGTGTGTGTGTGTGTGTGTGTGTGTGTGTGTGTGTGTAGGCATGATTGCCAGGGCAGATATTGGATTCAGGGATCAGCTTAGAGGTTACTGGTTGATAGGTGATTTGGAACTAGACTTAATGTTATTTGTGGAAATGGATGGTAAGCAGTAAATCTGCGAAAGATCAGAAAAAAGAGGAAACAAAAGGACTCAGTGGTTTAGTTAATAAGAATCTTGAAGGAGAAAGAAGAATCACAGCCCTGTCTGGACTTGTGAGCTTTGTCAGTGTTAAGATAGGTTACTGTGGTTTTCGGTGGTGTAGAACATTAGAAATCTGGTGTGTTAAGTGTGTGCTGGTGGTGGTAGTTAGAGAGGGTTTGGTTGCTAAACAAGACACAAGATAGCAACAGCATGAAATTAAAGGCTGCCTCCCTGTGAGCGGTCTGGAGAGGCCCAGCTCCAGTCACCCTTCCTCTGGAAGGGCCATATCAACACCTTTTCTCCGGGTCAGAACCAGTTACTGGGCATGGGATACTCTTAACCAGTGGACCTAAAGTGGAGTCTTGGACAGTATGTTTCTTGTACCCTGCTGGTGGACACAGGCATATTCTTGCCCTGTAGCCAGATTCGTGGGGAGAGCCCTTCAGAGGGCCTCAACTAGACCAGGTCAGTCCATGAGTCTGATTTTACTAGTAAAGAATGCTGACATGCTGGTACAACGCCCCCCCCCCCCCCC